AAAAAAAAAAAAAGAAAAGAAAAAACAGCTGCTCCGGGGCCGTTTGATCTTCTCGATATTTTTCAGGATCATGTCATGTAGAGTGACATATTGATTCCTTAGGTCTGATATGATGAGTCGAAGGCTGACATATTCTTTCTCATCAATCTCTGTCACAGGGCGGCGATAGTCCTCCACACGGGGATATTTAGCTATTTTAGAAACCAATTTGGCTCTTGTAATATAGTATCTAGAAATCTGGTCCAGATAAGATGCAGCTTCACTCTCAACAGTTCTTAGTTCTGCAACTGTCTCCTCCTGAATGGAGACCCCGAAGTTGTTCCCATCTTCTATCCTGGGAATCAAGAGCTGTACCCACATTTTGACCATATTGCATTTCTCAATCAGCAGCCGGATCTCAGGTTTCACTTTCTCAATAATGTCCACTAGCTGCTGGTTGCTTTTTAGCATCCCATTGGCTCAGTTGATTAAGTGACTGCCTTAAGCTCAGGTCATGATCCTGGAGTCCTGGGATGGAGTCCCGTATCGGCCTCCTGCTCAGCGGGGAGTCTGCTTCTCCCTCTGACCCTCTCCCTTCTCATGCTCTCTCTCAAACAAATAAATAAAAATCTTAAAAAAAAAAGAAAAAGCAGAGGGGACAAGCAGAAAACAAATGATAATATGGTAGACCTAAATGCAGCCAAATCAATAATTACATTAAATTGTAATGGAATGGATATTGCAATGTCCAGAGATTATGAGGATGAATAAAACTGCAAGACCCAATTATAAGCTAAACAAGAGGCACACTTCAAATATAAAGTCAAAGACAGGCAGAAATTTAACTTATCATGGGGAAAGATATACCATGCAAACAGTAAGCGTAAGAAAGGTAGAGTGGCTGTTTAGTATCAGATAAAATAGACTTCAAGACTAAGAGTTTTAACAAAGATCAAGAGGGACCCTCATAAAATATAACGGTCAACTCACTGGAATGACTTAATCATAAATATGTATGCACCTAATAACAGAGCTCTACATACAGGAGACAAAAACTGAGAGAACTGAAGGGAGAAAAGACAATTCCACAATCAATGTAACACCTTCTTCACAGCAATTGTTAGAACTAGACAAAAACAAAAATCAGTAAAAACATAGAGGATCTGAGTAACATTATCTACTACCTTGATCTAACTGATAGTTCTAAAACACTCTACAACCGAAAACTGCAGAATACATATTCTTTTCAAGTGCATGTGGTACTAAGAGATACCATATTTTGGGCCATAAAATCAAGATCAGAACAAGGACAAAATCACTATAACGTGCTACATTTCACTGCCTCTCCTAAAAACACAAAACAGAACAAACTTCTTGGGAAAGTAAAAGTGACTCTTCTTTCCCCAAAGAAGGTGACAGACAATGTTTACTTAGATCACAGGTAGTCAACAAATAAACCTATGAACAGCCTTAGAGAACCCAAATTAAAGACAACTGAGAGTATTTACATATTCATAGTTTTGGAAAAATACCGTTAGGATTTATTTACATCTATATTGAGGGATTTAAGTATGATTGTTCAAATCCTTTATTCTATTATACTTCTCAGGCTGCTTCCTTTTTGAAACCATCTAATATTTCTATTGATCTCATTTTAAGGCTGGAACACTCAAGTCCCTGAGGAAAAGAGAAAGCACAGACTCAATTTCCACAGCAACTCTAAATGCATCACACTGTATTTGTATATGAGAATTTGATTTAAATACATTAATATATGTGAATTTGCAATGTGTCTAAGCTGTGGTTGCTATAGGAACTGCAACTTCAAATTTCCTTTTAAGTTTAGTAAGTGCTCATACTTAACAAATGAACCCCCCCCACCCCCCGCCGGCTATCTTGAGTTGCAGATAAGGCTCACTGCAATAAACTTATAAACATCATGACTCACAAGGATATATGCACTTAACAGAGCTCTATCATTATGAAAATGTATATTTTAACACAGGCTCCTCGTTGGTAGATCAAAAGCAATTCAAGATGCAATTCTTCAAAATGTAGATAGAACAACTTGTCAGGCAGCCATTCACCCTCATGTGGTAGCCTCCGCTTTTGTGAAAGCTTACTGTAGTGTAGGTAAGTCACCCAAGTACACACAGACACCAACGGGCTCTACGGCTTCTCTGAAGCTGCAGAAGGATATTTTGTGTCTCTACTGAAATGGCAGAAAAACCTAGCATGTTCTCACAACAGCAGAAGGCACCGAGTATGTGGAGTGCATCTATTTCATACAAAAGCAAACAACCCACGGAGCATGGCTATAGAAGTAGTCTGTATGATGAAAAATCTTTTTTTTTTGGTCAATTTAGACCGTACTTAATTATCAACATGTGGAGGATCCATTCCATGATCATATTTCCACTCTAATATGGGCCCTTTACCACAAGATGCTCTGGAGCTTCTCCTTACTGCTCTTAATGTATTATAGTCAGGACATGCAAGTTACTTTTAATATCAGCCTAAGGAAATACCTGGGGAGAAAAATCCACTGCAAAATCCATCAAGTATCCCAAAGCGAAACGAAAAAATAAAGACGATCTCCTGCTTTCGATTATACCAGCCAGTGCTTATTTCCACTAATGCAGATGGTTGAGAAGTGACAAGGCTTAGAGGCGGGACAGAAATTACTGAATGTTACTGACACGGCATCACTGTCCGTTAACTGTGATCTAGATCTGGAGAATTCCCAGAGAGCTGACCCTCACACCTCAGCATCAAGCATGTTGCCTTCCATTTTGGGTGGACAAAATCGGACTTGTATATAAAGAAGATGGCACTGAATGGGGTTTCACTTTAGAGACTGTAAGTCGTTCATGGGGGAGATGATTATAAACACAATCTTAAGAATTAGAAGGGAACTCTGAGTTTATCAGTTAGTACATGCTGGTGTCCCACCAATTCTGAGGGATATGGAGAGGCATGGAGCTATTTGATTCTATGATAAAGCATTCAGGCTGCTGGGCTGTTTAGCAAGCTTTCTGAAGTTTTTTGGCTCCTCCTTTACTGATGCTTATACTTTCTATTGCTGTCAGTGTAGTCCTTGCCCTAATAAGTTATGTGCTGAGACACCATATCCCCATGTTTGTTATACATTTTATATTATAGATTTTACAACACCTATTCTGACTCTTGGAAGACATTTTGGTTTACATTTTCTTGGCTGTATTCCCAAGAGCTGGATACATGACCTCAAGAAAAATGAGGTCTTACTGTATTTATAGGAGCCTTTCACCTATTATAGCTTTTAAAACAGTGTTCTATATGTGATGTATACCTTGCTATAATTTTTTCCACAGTATAGTTTTTCCGTCCCACAATGTCCAAGAGACAGAACCTATTTCATCAAAAAGGGTATGACTGGCCTGACTTTTGAAAATAATCCTTTCTCCCCGATTAAGACCAATGCGGTGCACATGGTCAAGGTATTAGGAACACGAGTCTTAAGAACTACTACCTTCTGGAACATGAAAAATCCTATTTATTACCTGTTGACTTCAATGTGTTTCCTGAGCTGTGTCACCTGAGAGGTTAGGCTCTGGAAGAAATATATTTGTTTCAGGTTCATGGACATTCTATCAAAATAGCATGCGTTTCTCTGTGGCTTCCGTGACAGACCAATGGGGGACCTGCTAGAAAACAAGGCCAAGGCAGCACCATGAGCAGTGGTCTTGGGGGAGCAGGAGCAGTGGTGCCAATCCAAGGACACGCTGTGACTGTGGAAGAAAAACAAACTTCTGAGGCCTGTCCGATTTCACTACTAAAAAAACTTGGGGGGGGGGAAAAAAAAGTGGCAGCTGAGTTTTAAGATGAATCTGTACATCATTAAGAGCTCTAGAAAAAGACCCTAAGATGAGAAATGCCAGGTGCCCTGAGTCTCCCCTCCCGCCCATGTCCTCCTCCTCCATCTGCCCACCAAGTCCCCCACGCTGGACAAAACACACCACTCTTCTTCTTTACCCCCATCTACTGCACTGATCAAAGTTTCTGACAAACTTGAAGGCCAATTTGAACTGCCGTAAATTTTTGTTCCCCAAAACTCCTTGTGGCTTTCTACCCAACCTCTCTCTAGCACTTGTTAAACTGAAAATAAAAATAAAATTCCCCTTCCTCTTTAAGTTTGTATCAACACCCTTGACCTCATTTTCTCCCTCCAGCTTAAGGGTCCTACTCCACAAATTTCCCCTCCTTTTTCCAACCATCAACTATTTCTTCTCCACGACCTTTCTCTCATCTTACAAACTTGCCCATTGTGCCTTGTCCTAAAAGCAGACGAAAACAGATCAAGCACAACACCATGCTCCTTCCAATCTCACTTCTTGAGGCTGTCAGCTTTTCCCCACAACTCAACGTTTTTCCTCAACTTTTTCCCTAATGAATTTGGTGAAGGTGGAATGTACTCTTACCGCATGACTTTACCATTTGTGAGGTCATGCCCTCGTCCAGTCTCTGGAATCTAGGTTTATGCACTCAGCATCTTAACAGACCCGTTCTCTCAAGGATTATTCCTTACCTCCTGGGAGCCCGGTATCTTTGGCCTCTTTTTGGCCTTCATCCTATTTGATCTCTCCACAATTAATATTCGGCACTGCTGGTGATCCCTCTTTCTAGAGATTTCCTACTGTTCATTCTCTGATGCTCAGTTTTCCTAGTTTTTTCCCCTGATGTTCATGTCTTTTTTCTCAGCTTCCTCTTTTTCCTCTTGCTCCTTAAATGTACGTATTTCCATAGATCTGTGCTTAGCTTAGTTTATTTTATATAAACTCATTCAATCTGTGGTTTCAAAGTTGGATTTTTATGCTATCCTTATCTCCTTCCTCCAATTCCTCCACCCACTCTGGGTCCCATCATTCCACTGAATGACCCTAAGTTGAGAAATCCAATGGGCTCTTCCAGTCCTCGTTTTACTTGACTCCTCCACAGATTCAGAAATGTCTCAGTTGGCCATTCTGTTCCCTACCTTCTGCTTCCTTGACGTGTCATTCCCTCATTTCCTTTAATCTTTCTGGCATCTTCCCTGCTCTTGTGCAAACCCTTCCTTTTCTGCCCACTCAGTGTTAGAGTTCTTCAAGCCAGTCTCTCCCCTTCCCAGAGGGCTCACTTCTAGCCGCAATGACATGGATATCTGGAAGCCCCACAGATGGACCCCTCTAGCCTCTACAACATGCCTGTGTTGTTCAGTATTAGTATTCTTCTAGCCACCTCTTATCCATTCTCATTGGAGGTGGGGCATAAATAAGGAATTTGTATTATTTACCAAATTAATGTGACTGATTTAACAAGCATGAGCACTGGTTTTTACGATGGAACAAGAGCTTCTGAGCATTTCATCATTTAACTGTCCAGTACCCCAACTTGTGTAATAATGACCACAACTGTACAAGAACACACTCCTGCTTGATAAAGTCTATTTTTTATGGAAGGACGTTTATATCTTTGAAAGGTTCAATCCACAAAGGTTTAAAAGATTTTGAAGTTCTAGGTATTCATCCCCAATGACTTCACTTTTGGACCAAGTTGGATAAAATGAGGTCTTGCTGAATATTATCACACAAAAATTGGCACTGACCATATAGGAGATAGGATGCATATTTCATAACTTTCTTTTCAAAGATTATAGATTATTCATATTTAAAAGCATAAATTGGGTCATACCCTGATTTGTACCGCCAGGAATTAAGCAGTAAAAATATTTCAGTTGAAATCTAAACAGACTTGGTATTTTTCAGAAAAACATACCAAGAAAATGAAATCGATCCCTGGAGTAAGATCTTAACACACAGCTTGAATGATAAAAAGTGAGTAACTCTGCCTTTTTAGTAGTTTAAATCATGGTCATTAGACTTACTATAGATAAGGCATGCTGGGAAGATAAGATGGTCAAATAGACAACAATAAAAATCATCCAGAGGCATAAAGAGACTGGCTGCTGGAAGAATCAACCCAACACAGGAGAGCACAGATCAACTGGAGCCATTGCCCCGAAGGAAAGCAACTGCAGCTTTCACTGTTCCCATACCTGCGGTGGGGGAGTTTGCATGGTGAGACTTTTTCGGCAGGTTGAAGATCTGTTCGCCTGGGTCGGGGGGAGGAATTGCATCTTGCCCTTGCCGTGCTTCCACAGGGTCATATTCCTTCCCATCGTAGTTAGCATCATAGAATTTCTTAAACCACTGAATGAAATCCAGGTTGTCCTGGAAACGCCCTTTCACCAGCTTCTCCACTGGGATCACCTGCAATATAAAATCGCCGTGAGTCATGACCCTGTGTGTACTTAATACAACCAAAGGGTTCCCTGTAACTATTTCCTACACGTCCACGATTACGGACTACTGGTCGCCCCACAGCTTCTTGGCCAGCTATGTTCTAAAAGTCACCTTTCTCCCCCCATCATATTGAAGAAAAGTTAAACTAAAATGCTGTAGGTGGTTCTTCTGAATTATTTCATACTTCTGAACAAATGAGACGAAACAAGGAATACCCTTAGCTGTCAAGAGGGGCTGATCCTCTTCATAATGGATTTAACTACTCAAGCATCTCCTTGCAAAAATGGGGGTTCTAGAGGGGAGGGGGGTGGGAGGATGGGTTAGCCTGGTGGTGGGTATTGAGGAGGGCACATTCTGCATGGAGCACCGGGTGTTATGCACAAACAACAAATCATGGAACACTACATCTAAAACTAATGATGTAATGTAGGGGATTAACATAAGAATTAAAAAAAAATAAATAAATAAAAAATGGGCCTGGGATGTGGCGCTCTTTCAAGATTGATGGATTTTCCCTCTTTCTTTCTAACCTTGCTCCAGTGGTGCTGGACTGAACTCCTGTAAGGATTATAGCGACCAGACAATGTGAATGAGACTCAGGTTGATGCAAACGTACACTTATCTAATGGTTCGTATGAAGCAGAAGAAACTTTCCTGTTTGTTGTTGTTGTTTTGTATTTACACACTACAGAGAGACAAGCATTAAGAACAACGGCCTGCAGGGCGCCTGGGGGGTGGGGGTGGGGGGCTCAGTCCCTTAGGCTGCCGACTCTTGATTTTGGCTCCGGTCCTGATCTCAGGCTCATGAGATCAGCTACACAGGAGCACCGCTAACGTGCCATGGGAGAGGAGAGGGACAGAAATGGGGGCTGCTTAAGGGAGTCCCTGAAGGCATTCTGCACTATATTCACCTCAACTTCTGAGACAGAGCTCGGCTTTTCATGGAGTAACTCTTTCTACGGCAACCTAGACAGCCAATAGATATTCCCTTTAGAGGAACTTTCAGAATCATGACAGGAAGAAATGTGGGGTGACTGATTAGCTTTACTTCAGTGGGCAGTTATTTTTGAAGGAAAATGGAAAAAAAAGGACTTAGTTATGCAAATTGTGCCGTTACCAGGTTCTGGCTTCCTCATTTTTGAGTGGGAATGCTAGCTGAATGTAAGCCACGAGAGCTACAAAGCTGGGGAGTGAGTCTGATCACTGGTACACAATTCAGACACAAACCTAGCATTCAAAGCACACAACTTCACTGTGTAATAATATGAACGGAAGCCATTTATAAATTAAATTTTCAGCAAGGCTTTTGCCACCTCAGGAGCCGGATACCACTGATATCCTAAAATGGATCATCAAGACTACTTAAAAACAGAGAAAGACCTTAAGTATCAACAACCACTTGAAGGAAAAAAACAACTGAAGCATTTTAGGCCAGCCATTAAACAAAATCATTAGCAATGGATTTTTCAAAAATGTTTTTGATGAAGCTAAAACTGAAAAGAACTCAAGTATGGAGCAAAATAAAGAGAAACTTTGGGAGGGGACCACATTTTTCGTGAAGACTCTTCCAGTCAGGGAGACTTGGATGCGGATCTCGCTCTCCTCCCAGACTTAGTGAAGTCTGCCCACACTGAAGAATTTCTTCCACACATGCACTTAATAGTTGACTTTTTATTGTGCCAAATATTTTCATGTTTTCTGATTTATAACTTTTGTTTATGCTGATACTGATTTTTAAGTGCCTTCTTAGGGAATAAGGCCCTTTAATTAACATGGTACTAGATTTTGTTTTCTGCCAAATGTTAACATTTAGAACCAGTTTTAGATGATGGTACTGCCTTAACTGTTCCAAGTAGGCACTTACTTCTGTTGACTTAATTTCACACTCCCTATCAAAATGGAAGTTCTGGGGGCATAAGTTCAAAATCTGGGGTGGCAAGCAAATCTGCACACAGACACTTCCCACCTGTGTTACGCTCTGCCAAGCATGCACAGGGACCATTGCCTCTCCAAGGACCCTTGGGTGAAATCAGAGCATATTAAGCTAGAGAGGCCAAGAAAGGTGATGAAGGCCAGTCTCCCTGCACCAGAATTTTATATTCAACATTCTTAACAATGGCTCATCCACTCTCTCTGTATATGCTTCCACAGAAATATAGAGCTCCCTAATTTGTTACATAGCTACTTATGAGTGTTTTTCTTTTTGATCTAGAAGCATGTATAGAGAAATAAACCTATGAGTGGGTGTTTTACTTTTTGATCTAGAAGCATGTATAGAGAAAGGATACAAAAATGTATAGAGAAGTAATACCGTTAATTAGTAAGGAGAACCTATGTAGCTCTGGTTTCCAATACATATGGAAGGAGCTAATTGGAAATTAACCACAGCAAAGGACAAAGTTGAAAAGACTCTAAAAGGTTGAGCTGTTAGAGGTAGGTCTCTTGAAATAAAAATTCTGAGAAAACAAGAAGCAAAGATTTTAACATTTGGTAAGAATGCTTTGATTTAGGAAGATATTAATTACTTTAAAAATATGTACAGTTTAGCAAACTTTTCTCTTTTCCTTTAACCTAACAGTATTCACGTTTTTCATTTCCATGGCCTAGTTACTGCTACTATTGATGCCAAGAAAAGTTTCCTGTTTTTCTCGTTTTTTTCTCTTCCCCTTATTCAAAATTCCTTTCTTCCCAAAGCTATTCCCTCTAAGAAATATATCCTAGATAATGACTATGGATTATATATGTATTTGCATAACAGGAAGCATGCAGAGACTGAGTGGACTTTAGCGATAGTCCTTTAGCTGTCAGTTGAGAGATTTCCTTAAATGAAAGCCTCCTACAAATATGGGAAGTGAGGGTTGATACTTTATGCTAGGCACAGACTCCAGACTACTTTGACAATATCAAGATATATACCATTGATACGTCTTTGGATTTTTTGCATTTTGGCACAAAAACAATTTTAAGGAAAGACCCTGCATTTTACAGAGGTGTAAGTTAGTTTCCTACCTTATCAACATTCATTCGCTTAAATGATGCTTGCAGAAGTTTAAAATTGTGAATATACTCATGCTCCAACTTTGCTTGAAATTTTACTTTCTTCAAACTAATGCAGCCTGGAAAGAGCATGTCCATGAACTGGCAATAGGCAGCTCCTGGAAAGAGAGGAGAAAAATGCTGAGGTAAGTCTGACTGTAGCCAGGTGTGACTGAGGACTTCGAGGCAGGGAAGAGGCCCCCAGCTGTGTGCTCCTCTCTCCTCCCTCATTCACTCAGGCTGGGAGCCGGAGGGGAAGGGACCAGGCCTCGGGGCAGCTCCGGCCACTCTCCCCATTCCTAGTCACTGCGGTACTGAGGCTGTGTTCTCCAGAGCATCCCCACATTCCACGAACAGTGAGCAGAAATACATTAACACCAAGGGAATCAGGGTAAGAATAACTCTTCTTAGCTTTCATCAGAAAAAAAGAAACATTTTTTACTTCCGTCTAGATGCTACCTGCTCCAAGTCATCAAAATATATAGATGTAAAAGAAAAACAAAGTTTAAACACAAGAAAACCGCAAAACTTCTCATGAAATGTGTAGCTCAAAAAAATATGCATGAAAATACAAGTATGCTCAAGCTGTTGTTTTTTTTTTTTAAATATTTATTTATTTATTTGAGAGAGCGAGAATGAGAGAGAGTACATGAGAGGGGGGAGGGTCAGAGGGAGAAGCAGGCTCCTCGCCGAGCAGGGAGCCCGATGCGGGACTCGATCCTGGGACTCCAGGATCATGACCTGAGCCGAAGGCAGTCGCTTAACCAACTGAGCCACCCAGGCGCCCCTGCTCAAGCTGTTTTATATCCACCTTGCAAAATGACTTAGGTGAAACTGGATAACTAAACCATCTAATGCCAAAAACACTGTATACCAATTTAATTCCAGGTCAGAGCAATGGGGTCCTATATTAACATGAAGGATGAAGACATGGAGACTCTGAAACTTACAGAAGTTGAGAGTCATGCTGTTTATGACTGAGGAATCAAAATAACAGAAATGTTCAATGAGTCCCCCGAGGAAATGGTTCTAGAAAAAAGGATTAGTAAGTGTTTCTTATTTATTTATTTATTTATTTAATGAAGAACTCTTACATCATGACAATTTCCACTAGAAAATCCCAGCGAGATGCTTACTGATTCGTATCTTTTTAACAGTTAAGGCTACAGGCATTTAGAAAAGACATTCAAAGCCAGAATGATTATTTTTCTTTTACAAGGAGGAAAAGCAATTGAGCAGCAAGAATGAGAACAAGATGCCATTTCTGTGTTCTCTTTCCTTCTCCAGATCTCTTGGTCTGTTTCTATAATGTGCTAATGATGGCCTTTCTGGGACATGAAAGGCTCCCCTCATCCTCTGATATCAAGGTTTCTGTGAGAAGTTCTTTATTCCATTTGGGGGATTCACCTTTACATTGGAAGAAGCCAACTCACCTCTTAGGCCATAGATACTGAGCATCCTTTACTGAGATAGGAATCCAAGATCGAACACGGTGCCAGGGATCTAAGGGCTGCCTCAACAGGAAATGGTGAGGCAGCTCATGGTTCGTAGGTAAGAGTATAAAGTAATGAACGATAGACCACAGTAAATATCACCTCCAGAATCTTTGCATCTGTGAGGTTTCCCCTTAGACACCAATACCCTGAGCACAAACTAGTATATTCCTACTCAAGCAGATGGGCTCTCTTAAAAACAAAATAAGACAAAAAACACTGGAGGAGGTAAGAGAAACATCATGATCTTGGGGGGGCATTCTTACAGTCATAATTCAATTATTCAGGTCTTCCTTTTGAAGTGCCCCCACATGGAGCAAATTCCAAGAGCCATTTGAACAGTATTTTTACAAGAGATGGGGTTGTCTAAACATAACTGTCTCGTTACCCACTTTTTGAAGAGTTATTCTTACTTCTGTAGTGTTTAGCATAAATGTACTTATATAAGATCCAGATACCTATGTATTCTTACAAACTAACCAACCAATTCACTCACTTCCCAAATTTAAAAAGTAGTAACAGCTTTTGGAAAGAAAAGCAAACTTGAAATAGGGAGGAAAAAAGGAAAAACCATTTCTAGTTCACCTAAAGAGAACCACTGTTAATGTTCTGGTATATACCATTCTTTTTTTTTACTCTAACAGATTGATTCCCTTCTGGGTCATTAATGGACTCTACTGACATTTTTAATGGGTGTCCGATTTTTATATCAGGCTAAGCAACTTTCCCAAACCAAGATTAGATAAATATTCACATATATTTTCTTCAAGTATTTTATGGTCTCGATTCACATTTACATTCTGAATTCATGCAGAATTTATTTTGGTCCCTGACAAAGGATGGCTCTAATTTTAGTTACTCCAAATGTTAGTGGGAATCTGTCATTTTTGGCATGCCAACATTTGGGCAACTTCCTGTCTGGGTTGATGCTACAGTGCCTTGCCTCCCAGCACAGCACTGATGGTGAGCAGACATCCTTTTCCCCATCCCCAGCAGTGAAGATGCAGGCCTGTGTTCTGGGCTCTGCCTGGATCTCAGTCTTAATAATGACAGAAAAACACAGGGACTATTAGAATTTCGTCATGGTGGCACTGGTGGGATTGAGAGTCCTGTGACAACAACACAGTGGCATCCTAGGCCAGCGGCACAAGGGAGGCTCTGTTCCCAGCTTCTGGCTTGATTTCCTATTGACTTGACTGAGCTACCAAATATTCTTCCTGTAAATGTGTCTCTGCTTAAGCTTGCCAGGATTATTTTTTGCTATTTTCATTGGCAAATGCCAACTGTTAAAGTCAGCTAGGCGTTGAACGTCATCATTTCATGAATAATCTGTATTTTTCCCACTGAGGAAAAGCATTAGCTTTACTATATATTGCTTTCCTAATACATGCATTTAGGTCTCTTTCTAGACTTAAATTTTTTTTTTTTTAAAGATTTTATTTATTTATTTGAGAGAGAATGAGATAGAGAGAGCATGAGAGGGGGGAGGGTCAGAGGGAGAAGCAGACTCCCCGCTGAGCAAGGAGCCTGATGCGGGACTCGATCCAGGGACTCCAGGATCATGACCTGAGCTGAAGGCAGTCGCCCAACCAACTGAGCCACCCAGGCGCCCTAGACTTAAATTTACTTTGGTCTGTGGTTAAGTTCATACTCTGTTCATCAAATACTCTAATATATAGTATTAACTGTAGAATAATTTCCCTTCATTCCTCAAAATTTAATTGTCTTAAATTTTATCATGCATTCTTTCCTTTCTATTTTTATATTTGTCATTCATGGCATATAGAAAACAGATTTTCTTTAAAAAATTAGTCATTTACTAAATAACAGCTCTATTGAGATATAACTCACATATCAAAGTTCAACTTTTTAAAGTACAGTTGACTCTTGAATAACATGGGTGCTAGGGGTGCTGACCCTCCCACACAGTTGAAAATCTGCATGTAACTTCTGACTTCCAAAAAAACTAAACTACTAATAGCCTACTGTTGACTAGAAGCCTTACCAAAAGCCTTACCAGTAACAGTCAACATGTTTTGTATGTTTATATGTATTCTAGCCAAATACTGTTTTCTTACAATAAAGCAAGCTAGAGAAAATGTTAAAAAAAATCACTAAACTACATTTATGACACTGTACTGTACTTATCTTTAAAAAATCTATAAATGGAAACGTGCAGTTCAAACCCATGTTGTTCAAGGGTCAATTGTATACAATTCTGTGGCGTTGAAGGTATTCACAGAATCGTGCGTCCATCACTACTAATTCCAGAAGGTTTTCATTATCACCAAAATAAACTTCATACCTATTAGCAGCCACTCTCTCCCCACCCCCTCCCCCCGATCCTGGTAACCAACTGCTGATCTCTTTTCTGTTTTTATTGATCTGCCTATTCTGGACATTTCATATAAATGAATCATAAATTATGTGGCCTTTGTGTCTGGTTTAACTTAGCAAAATCTTTTCAAGGTTCATCCATGTTGTGGTGTGCATCAGAACTTTGTATTCCTTTCTATGGGTTAATAATATTCTATTGTGTGCATATACCACATTTTATTGATTTACTCATCAGCTAATGAAAGTTTGGGTTTTCACTTTTGGCCTGTTATGAGCAATGCTACTATGAACTCTCGTGTACAAGATTTTGTGTGGACTTAAGTTTTCAGTTCTCTTGGGATATGGTACACCTCTATGTTTAACATTTGAGGAACTGCCAAACTGTTTTCTATTTTACATTCCCACCAGAAATGTATGAGGGTTCCAATTTCTCCACATCTTCACCAATCATAATTGTCTTCTTGATTCTAGTCATCCTAGTCAGTGTGAATTTTGATTTGATTTCCCTAAAGACTAAGAATGTTAAACATCTTTTTCATATGTTTTTGGCCATTTATAGATCTTCTGTGGAGAAATGTTTATGCAAATGCTTTGCCCATTTTTAAAGTGAGTTATTTTTCCTTTAATTGGTGAAAGTTTTTTCTACATTTTAGGGACAAGTCTCTTATCAGGTATCTAATTTGCAAATACTTCCTCCTGTTCTGTGGATTGTCTTTTTACTTTCTTGATAGCATCTTTTGAAGCACACATGGTTTGTTTTTTTTTTTTTTTTTAAATATTATTAGAGAGAGAGAGTGTGTGCAAGCGGGGGGTAGGACAGGTAGAGAGAGAATCCCAAGCAGACTCCTCACTGAGCACAGAGCCCTACCTGGGACTCAATCCCACAGCCCTGAGATCAAGACCCAAGCTGAAATCAAGAGCTGGATGCCTAACCAACTGAGCTGCCCACGCATGCAATACACATTTTTACTTCTGATGAAGCACAATTTTTTTTTTTTGTCACTTGGGCTTTTGTCATTTCTAACAAACCCCTGCTTAATCCAAGATCATAATGATTTACACCTACATTTTCTTCTAAAAGTTATATGGTTTTAGTTCATACATTTAGGTCAGTGATACATTTTGAATTATTTCTTATATATATAGGTGTAATGGTGGGTCTAATTTCGTAATTTTGCATGCAACTATCCAGTTGTCCTGGCACCATTTGTTGAAAAGACTATTACTTTCCATTCAATTGTCTTAGCACTCTTGTTGAAAATCAATTAGTTCTCAATGTATGGGTCTATTTTTGGGCTCTCAATTCTACTTATATACCTATCCTTATGCAGTAATAGTCTTGATTACTGTAGCTTTGTAGTCAGTTTTGAAATCAAAAGCAGAAGTCCTCCAACTTTGCTTTTCCTTTCCAAACA